TGACTTGTTTCTGCTCTACATGATGCCTAGGTTTGATGAGGAGCGAGCAAACGCATCAGTGCCTTGTACTATTAGAACGACTATTATAACAAGTAAAAAAAAGAAGTGCATTGTTTGTGTGTTCATTCTAGGCAGAGTGTAATGTCTTCAAGAAATCAGGGGGAACGTTTTTTGGGATGATTTATGGAAGTTTCATGTATATAGGGCGATCCCCATTTACTCTGGCTGAATTCCTTGGCTCGACAGGCGTAAACTTTTTTGCTTATGAGATTAGATTATACAAGCCCAACAAGCGCAAGCCAATAAGATTTTGGCAATTCCCATATGAGCATGAGGCAAAACTAGACAAATTTGCTTGCTGAATGGGCAGTGCTATCAGGACCGATGCTCAGAGCGGTGAGTTTTGGATCAGTGGCCGGGTGCATTAAGGCCCGACTGAGATCGGATTGCATTGAGGTTAGATGCGTCGAGGTTGGAATTCCTCTGCAGGAGAAAATCGCTGAAAATGAGAAATGCGCCTTCGCAGTACCGCACCATCATTCTCCAACTATTGCAAGTGCTTCCGACATGTAAGAAACTCGTCCCACTGGAGCGGAAACCAGCAGGAGGGACCCAGTCGGCCTCCTTGCTGGGGGCCTTGGCCTTCTCCCTTCGTGGCTCCGGGGTAAGCCCGGACGACTCCGCAGCGCTAGAGAAGGCTCCCTGGGAACCGACAAGTACACAGTTAAGGGCTTGGGGGGATTGGGATTGTATCATTTCACATTTGCCAAGCAAGACCGCCATCCTGGCTGCTAGTGCTCATACTGACACGAAGTACCCCATCATCTTCTTAGAATGGTGATCACCACTCCGCACCAACTGACCATTACACTTACAAAGTAATGCTACAGGGTTGCGCCGCGTGATTCTTCACTGATCTTGCGGTTGCGCCGCGTGATTCTTCACTGATCTTGCTGTCATGTTGGAGGTCCTCGCTCCCTGCTTGTTGGAGCGGTGATTGCCCCAGTGCGTACATCTGCACACACTGCGCATGATCCTCTCATGTGGAGGGCCTGAACTAGCCAAGCAAAGCTTCAAAGCGTTCGCAGCATGCCTCAACCAACGCAACGCTACAGCCAGACCACCAAAGCCTCAGCTAGTGTCTAAATAGAACCCCTGAAGAAAGGGCCCAAGTTTTGAGACATCTCGATACAACGCCACATCCTGAACCGCCCCCCTGAAACTGTAGCAACTGTGGGCGCGGCCCGACGCATTGAGCCCGCGCAGAGATCAGGCTTTTGCGTTGTCACGTGTTGAAAAATACAGCAGGAATAAACACCCTGTGTAAGCAAGGTGGGATCTTTGAAGCCAATTCCTGGAATTCGTCTATTTTGTGGTTGTGGGCTGGAGTTAAGGTGATTCGTGTGGTCTGGACATCAAAAATTTCTGACGAAGCCGTTGCAACAGCCGTCTGCTCTGCATGGTATGCATGCCTGCTGCTTGTCTGCCTCACTTTGACGGCATGGTCAGCTGGCTTCACTAGTTCTGGGTGAGGGACATGGACTCCTCCTATGCATGACTTGAACTGAAATGCACCGACTTCGGTGGGGCTACTGTTCCAGTGGTGCCCAAAGCTAGCATTACACGGTCGTGCAACTTCGCGAGACATGCAGTACCGCTTGGCATGCAGAAATCTAATCGGGGACCAATCCCATCCTGTCTGCCCAAGGCTCCGACGTTGCCCTTTAGCTGCCTGGCATGGGCATGATGCAGCGAAGCACAATCCCTTTGTGCAAGGTGCACCGAACGTGCGTGGCTACGGAGGATCTGGATGGATCTGGTCTAAGCTGAAGCGATGGCATATATGGTTCTGCGAACTCGGCTGACCTGAATCCATGTTAACGTGTCTGTGTCACGCTCGCGGCAGCTCCTCATCTTCGTCCATGCGGGTAAGCAAGCGCACTACCTCAAGGGCTCACAGGACACAAGACACTTCTAACTTTTGACAAGCTTGCAGAGATGCCTGTGGCTCTGAGCTGTGCGCGCCGCTGTTGCTGCGTGTGCCCTGGCCCCACATGGCGCGGCATCTTCCTTGCACAGATCACGATGTTGCCGCCCAAAATCGTTGCAGGCCGGGCGCACATTGCAGTCCTGCACCTTGGAGCGTGCGCTTCCACGCCTGCAGACTGACACATGTCTAATGACGTTGGCACATTGCGAAGCCATTCCCAACCTTTCAAAGCACAATTTCATGGACTCCACCTTTTACCTTCTCTACGTACTCATGCGGGAAATACTTCCACAAGTGCCAAGAAAGACTTGCTGGGCACAGTAGTAGCTGCAGTCAACGCTGAATGTTGGCAGATGATGCTCCGGCGGGCAGTATCACAATTAGGCACTTGAGAACAACATGACTTCTCGCAGCTGGCACCTGGACAGCGCTCATGGCTTTACAGGGCCTAGATGGACAGACAAAGGATCCCAAAGGTTCATGAAGCTAGCTACTTGTCGGAGGTCGGTTGCCTTCTCAGTCCACAAACAGCTCGGGTTTGAGAGCTGCCCCGTTGAGTCTCAGATGCTAAGCCCTGAAAGTTGCTGCATGGCTTGTCCTTTTGTTGCCACCTCAACGTCTAACGTCGCCTGTCACGAATACCTTTAGAGTGAGGGTTGATCAGGCATGCTGAGGCAGAGATTCCACAATCGGAGTTATTTGATCCCGAAATGTGCCATTACCGTTGTTGCCATAGCAGTTGCCAATGAAGCTGGCGCTCTACTGAGCCAATGCGAGCCAGCATGCGCGACAGACAGGTTTGCAGGGAAGAGGAAGGGTAGATAATTACAGAGTAGGCGAGTTGCACGACCTCTGACATCAGCACTGTGGAGTCCAAAGCCGTCAACGTTCACTACGGTTCGTCATTGTTGCTACTCCTCTGGAGGAGGGCTTCTTTTGCTGCGCGGTTCTCTCCCTGAAGCCTCCAACACAAGCCCTGAGCTCGGGTCTCATGCACGGAAAATGGAGGCGCAGAGGTTCAGCTTGAAAATCGAATCTTATGGTACAATTTTTCTTCGAAGGATACAGGATACAGTGTGCTGTAGCTGAATGCCCTGAATGGCTCTTGCGTTTGCTTTTTGGGATGGTCCCACTACGACAATCAAGGCGTAGAGCTTTGGGGGCTTAGGGCCTGTTTAAAGGTAAGCCCGGGGGGAGGCGCTTCTGTCCAGGCTACTGCTGCAAGACTCAAACCTTCTCAGCTTGAGGACCACGATGCACTGGATGGGATGCTCCGCAAACTGCGGAGAACAAAGTAGGGCTTTCCTAGATACCCACCAGGTTCTTGGTCTCCACAGAACTCCTTCCTTCTTGTTGGCACCGTACAAGCAGCGAAGCTCCGGGACCATACTTTGAAAGAAATGCACACTGCCCGCGCTATGCGGCAGGTATCTAGCGGATCGCCATTCTGCACTCACATCGGTCACCATCTGCCTGTGACATGAGTCCATCTTCAAGAAACACATGCAACAATTAGACTTTGTACAAAACAATACAAGACGGACAGCACAAGGCCATGCCCTACGACGCGGGTCACCTTTTTTCCGCTTGCCCTCGCTGGACGCTTCGAAAGCCCACTGACGCAAGCACACAAAGGCCAAGCCTTGCACTGCATCGGGAAAGGGACAGATGGCATCATTCATTCTGCTGCTGTTTCTGGCAGGTACTTTCACCTGCCTTACCAGTATGAAGCGGGCTTGAATCACTTTGCAATCCGCTTTCGAATGTTGATTGCACATAGCTGCCCTTCAATCATCTCATCATCCTTGCAAGGGCCATCCATGTGAAGTCAGATTGTGGACCAGGACTGGGGGTCAAGTTTTCTGCCAGCCCAAGATCTAATGCGATACTCCTAGCAAGCCTTGTAAGCCTTGCGGTCTATGAGGGAGCATTGAGAAAATCACCTTTCAATCACTCCATGCATGAAGCCTGAAACCTAAAGCCCTGATCACAACCCAGAAATACTGACGCTTCTTTTATTCACTAACATCGCATTAAAAGACAGAGCAACATGCCAGCCTGAAAACCCCCAAACCTCAGGTCAACAACGGTCCAGATACCATGAACCCCAAACCCACGCCACAAACTTCCCGCAGCCGCCGTGCTCAGTACTGCAGAGCTTCAGCAATCCCAAACAAGACAAGCAAGGTGAGCTGGGTCGTCGTTTCTGACGCGAAAGCGTTCCCCTACACAAGCGTTGAATACACTGATGGAAATAATGATCGTAAGATAGTCCTGATTTTGAACGAAGGACATGCCACAAACTATGTCTTAGTTCAAGCTCCTGATATTCTCACAGAAAAAGCATTTGTGATGATGCTTCTCTAGAAGAACCTTGATTTCATCCTACAGTAGTACTGCTGCGACCCAGTCACGAGATTTGAACACATGCCCCGAATATGGCAGGTTCAAAGCCCTTGACGAACATCCCACACGCTCATCCCTAAACCCCGAGCCGCCCAGTTTCCATTTTTCCATTATCCCTATATATCCCTATAGAACCCATATAACCCCTATATTATAGCTTTGCTTCATGGACCGTCTTCATTCGTAGCTGAGGTCTTCAGCTCTAAACCCGACACCTTCCAAGGCTCCTCCGTATAGCATACCTGGTCGCCCAACGCGACTGGGCCATAGCCTTCAGCCAGCCCCAAGGTGGAGAAGAAAGCCTGGCGAATCTTGCTTGTTGTAGCCCTCTGTTAAAGCAGAAGTCCCCAAAATGTGCCATGCGAGAAGAACTGGAATGTCGTACTAGTTTAGGATGCAAGCTGCCGGAATGCCCTTTTCTCAGCCGCAGCTAACAGGTGCGCGCTACAGCTGTCATATGTGAAACAAACAGCTTGGCCTGTACAAGAATTGCACAATGTTTGCTGTCAGGTGCCACCCCTCACGGTGCATCAGCACGGTTAGATCTATGGTTATCGAGCATGTCTCAAAACTGGCATACAAAAGTGCCGTTCGGCTTTCTCAATCACTTCGCAGCATAGCCGCCTGACCCATTCACCAAGCACTTCTTGAAGCCGTCCTCGAGTTCCTGACGATTCAGGTTCTTGCCGATGAAGGTGAGCTTGCAAATTCGCTCCTCATCTGGCTGCCACTTCTTCGCCGTTGAATTCTTGAAAGACATGTGAACGGCCTGGAAGACGAACTTCTCCTGCATGCCCTGGACGGCCAGAACGCCCTTCGTCCGGAATAGGTCACCACCTTTTTCTTTCAGCAGCCACCCAAGCCAGTCGTTAAGCTTCTGTTGACTGAGCTCACCCTTGACGTGAAAGCCACATGACGTGACCCGGTCATCGTGGTGATGATGATGATGCTGCTCATCCTCCAGGAAGCCATCATCCATCTCCAAGATCTTGTCCAAATCGAAGGCCTGTATGCCGATGATGAAGTCCATGTCCACGATGGAGTTTGTTGCACGCTTGATCTTCACGGACTTGTTGATCATCCGAATCCGCCTCTCAACCTCCACAAGGTGGGGCTCGTCGACCAGATCACACTTGTTCAGGATGATACGATCCGCAAATGCCACCTGTTCAACCGCTTCATTCTCGACATGTTCTGGCTTCTCATCATCGAGATGCATGATGAGGTGCTTCGCATCCACCAGAGTCACGATGCCATCCAACTGCATTTTCGACTGGACAAAGTCATCGGCAAAGAACGTCTGAGCCACCGGCGCAGGATCGGCTAGCCCGGTGGTCTCGATGATGACTCCGTCCAAGGTCTTGCCGTCTTTCATGGACTTTTTCAAGATCTTCTTGAGTCCCGCGATCAGGTCTCCACGGACAGTGCAGCATATGCAGCCATTGTTCATCTCGATGATGTTTTCCTCCAGCGCCATGGGCCCTGTTTCAATGAGACTGTCATCAATGCCCACCTCTCCAAACTCGTTCTCAATGATAGCGATGCGCTTTCCATGAAACTCCTTGAGAATGTGGTTCAGGAGGGTTGTCTTGCCACTGCCCAGGAACCCTGTGAGCACAGTAACAGGTACCTTGGCAGAGTCAGACGATACGGGTTCCTGTGTTGCTGCCTGCGCTTTGGCCATCTTCTCCGAAACCTGTGCTCCGAGCGCTTGTGCTGACTGATAGTCAGCAGACGCTCGCTTGTGGGCACCCAAGCCAGTGATGATGTCACCCCTGACCTCATACATCTTTCGCAAGACGTCTTTCTGCTCCTCCGTGAGCTTTGCCTTGTACTCCTCTAGGAAAGCAGGAGGATCTCGCAGTACTCGGTCAGATTCATCACCCACCAGCTTTGCATATGCCTCCATGCACGAGTTGATAACCTGAACTCCATCGAAGAACTTTCCCTCTTTCAACGCCGTTTGAGCAGACTTGAAAGTGTCACTCCAGTCCACCGGCATGTTGTCAACGCGGATGCTTCAATGCGCTACTAAAGAAATAGCTCAGCTTTGAGCCTGTTGCTCCTGTACTCTAAAGACATGCTTCTTCGGGTCAGAGGGCGCCTAGGGGAATAGAAGACAACTGTTGACTTATGAGCTGCTGTACAGGGGTTGAAGATTGAAGCGTCCTTCTCCTCTTACTTGAGGGTCAATTGAAGTGGAAGTGCGGCAACTAATAATCTCCATGATCCAATGGCAAAGCGTAGTCTGCTACTTGTTAGCCACGAGTAAACAAAAGGACGGAACTACCGCTAGATTTTGTACTTGAATGCTGTACAGGTTGGTACAAGCTACGACGTCCTGTGAACTGCGGTGAACGTGGTGCAACCGCTGGGTCTTCAAGGTCAACACCCGGTCGCCTCCGATTCGCCCTCGTCGGCCTTGATGATGCCGTAGGCTTTGGCTTTGTTGAACAGCACAACCTGGAGGGCTTCAGATGACTGGCAAACATCGCAGGCGTGAGAATAAGAATGACAGTAAAACCAAGACCATGGCTGGACCGTGCTCTGTAAAAACGGCGAAGGTGAGAGAAGCACAATGGAAGCGATTATGCTATCATGAACCACTGCTGGTTCCTTTCTTCCAGTCTGCGTTTGCATCAGCGCTTGACGAGCTAAGTACCACAAGCGCCTGACTGCGCGGATCGCTGCACATAACATACTGCAGATAGCACACAGCATGGTCTACCTCGGCGTGCTCACATGTATCGGATTAGTGTGCATTTAAAAAAAGGTGTTCCTGCAGTGGTGCTTTCTATCCCTCCCTTTCAGGGATCTAATCAGGGCGAACACAGTAGCGTAAGTTATTCATCAGAACAAGCCTCACTGACATGGCCCTCAGGAAACGGGGCACAGCACCTCCCCACTTGCTTCTGCAGCCTTCTTGGGGGTGCGCCGACCTGAACGAGTGTGGGGCTAGAGGCTGAAAAACATTGAGCGGTAAGCCCCAGCAAGATACAAAACTTCAAAACAATCATTGCGAGATGATTCTCACTGCCTTTCGTAGTCAGGCTTTCTGTACCCAATATGAACCGGACTTTCCTCTATTGACAAACTTTGAAGGGAGACCTAACGGTCCTTAAAAAAGACTAAGGGCGTGAGGGACTGGATCCCTGTGACTACCGATTTATGCTAGCCCCTGTGATAATGTCTATATGAGCCATAATCTTAACTCCTAGTGTCCCCCTTCATAACTTTTTATCCCCCTTCAAGGAGTTTAGATTCTGTCTCATATTCTTCCCACCTCCCCCATCAGCATCAGTAAGGAGAGTGCGGCCTTGGCTTGGAGAAGAGCCTTCCGCTGAGCCCTCGATCACGAAGCCGCTGCCCTCGAAACGACCCGGCAGCCTCGGAGCATCCGGCGCACCCACATGCACCCACTATTCCTATTTCTATTGCTGCTACTTTTACCCCACTAGTAGCTAAAATTCCCAAATGAATACGATTATATACAGGGAGGACCTGTTTCCTTTGGGTGGTGGGGAATATATATTCTGGGTTATGGGAGTGGCAGCAAGGGTAGTAGCAACAGAATAACTGCTGAATGATCCGCCAGTGATCCGCCTAATTAAGTCATAGGAACCCGTAGAACACAGGAATTGGTGGTGATGGCAATGTAAACCGTTTGCATCCCATGGCAAATGCAAGCATGGCCGAGGCACCCCGCGCAGAAGGCGTCCAGGGCCTTTCGACCGGTTTCATCCAGGGGTGTCTGCCTGCACTTTTTTCTACGTCACAGATTATGTCGGCAAGCACTTGAACGGCTCCGACTGCTTTTGCTCTCCGCTTTCGCCTTCAGATTTGGATAGAGCACAGGGCTAAGTATGCTTCAACTTCGACACTGTGCGCCTAGAAATGAAGATGATCAGGCCAACCATGTGACTTGGAATCATGATCGGAAGCCACTAAGATCCTTACCTCTTCCACCCATAATTTGTTAACCGCCGCCACCACCACTCTCACCATCACCACCACCACCACCACCACCACCACCACCACCACCACCACCACCACCACGACTACGGACCATGACACCACGACCACCACGACCGCAGCTCCAGCACCCAGAACCAGCCCCAGCACCCCTGGCTTTGAATTTCAACTCCTCAGCGCTAACGCCTAATCGCACCGCCCGCCGAGAAAAAGAACCTAGCACTCTGCTGCCCCAGTGGCTCCAGGCGCCGGAGCTCCGCCCGCAGCGGCGCGTCACTGCGGCGCTTGGCGCATCCGCAGTGGGAGCCCATGGCTTCACAGGGGAGGCTCTGAAAGAAGTTTACGGGGAGTGTTCTTGTTGTGTACAAAGACTGGAAGGACTGAGAGGTCAACCTGGTGAATGAGACGGAATTTACAAAAACTCTTATGAATTCTTAAAGGGGGCGTACAATGCTTTTGTGGCGAGGAGGCTTTGGGCTTTTTTGCGCCCTTTGCTGGGTGCTGGGTCCTTAAAAGCATTGTGGTCACCAGTCCAACAAGAAGGAACCCTGATTTTCAGAAACTCACAATGTTGTTGGCGGTGTGCTAGATTAAGGCTTTGTTTGCTCCAAGTTTGATGGATACTGTCTCAGGATTCATCCCAAGCGACTTTGCCAGGTCATACGCCAGATCAGTATCAGGGGTTAGCGTGACTTCTACTTTACGTCTGGCTTCAACACCCTTGTGATTGTAGCTCGTGTAAATTCAGGTCAGGCTTGGGCAATCCTGCAGGTGGCCTGCGGAGAACAGTCTGCTCAATGAGCCCGCGGACGATTTTTCAAGGGAGGCCTTGAAAAGAAGGGAAAAGCAGCCTGCTAGAAGCCTCTATACACCCTGGATGCATGAAGCAGGAGGTCGCAAACTGCCAGGCCAACTCTCATGGCTGAATCAAAACCTCCTGCTGTGAGGAAAAAGGATCTGCAACCATTTTTTGGCATCGCTAAGCAAGACCGCGTCCAGCACGAGATCGCTCGTTGCCTGCATCAAAAGCTTTTGTGCACAAGCGTTGCGATGGTGTTCAGAAAGTCTGAGGATGAACAGGCCAAACAGCAACTTTGTGGCTCCCGGCTGTTTACTGCCTGAAACACAGTGATCAATTGAGCATGAGGGCCCTCCAAGCTCTTGACCTGAAATTGACCAAGTTTGACTGAACCCTGGGTCCTTCCGAGAAGACATCCGAGCCAGACCCTGCAGTTGGTGAGTCACCGCTTCTGTCGTCAGCATCGTGGGTGCGAAGCCACGTCTCCAACGGAATGCGTGTGACTTCCGCCTGATCCAGGGTCTCCCAACAATAGAGCACCAGCAGCAACAGCAAAAGGAAGAGGGGGTCCCCCAAACACGTTTGATGAGAGCACTTGCAGGCCGTTCCCTCCGTTCATGCGGAACCTTCCTGCTTCTGCTTACATTGGGCAAGCTGCAAAAAAAAGCTGTCAAATACCCTGCACAGAAAGCCTACCTTACCTCTAGTTTCTCTGCGGCACAGCAACTGGACCAGCACCAACGCTATCCCCAAAGAAACCTGAAGTTGGAAAGGATGTTGCCTGCCTGCATCACCTTCTCATATTATGCATTCGGCCTAGCGGAGAAAGGACATTCCCTTAAGAATTGGCTGTTGCACTGCTAACAATTTGACCCCGACATTCTGCGCACAGGTTCCAGTTTGGGCCCAGTCCCTGCTACTGTAGAGGCTCATGGCCATCACCCCTGAAAACATCTTGGTGCAAAGGAGTCACAGGACTGGAAGGAAACTCGCCATCTGACCTGGGTTGGGGTCTATGGTCTTAGAGCCTATAGCTTGCCAGATTTTGTGGGTCCATGCACCTTCCCTTTGAAGCTCTTGGGATCTCTGAGCTAGATACCCCTCCAGCTTGGCAATAATTGGCACCAAGGAGAACTAGCCCCTCTTCAATGTTTTATACCCTTTTTTACGACTCATTAGCCTCAAGCCCAAGCGTCATGTACCCCCCAGCATTCAAATGTCCAACCCCCTAATGATCCTTTCCTGGCTCAAAGCCACCCGTTTTTATGGGCAGTAGTGTTGTAGGTCCCTTTTGGGCTTCCATTTTGCTTTGAGCTATAGCCTAAATTCCTAGTATCCCCTTTAATAACCCCTACAGTAGTCCCCTATATAATCGCTTATATAACCGCCTTCAAGGAAATTTGAACCGTCAACCCTAAACCCTTTTTCCATAAACCCTAAACCCTATAAATCATACATAATCCTCTATAATCCTTTATATAGCCCCCTTCAAGGAGTTTAGACGAATTATAGCTCATTGAGGCAAAAAGTCTTGCCCTAGAGCCGAGACTCGGTAAAGCTGGGTTCGAGGCCAGGCTTTGCATCTCCTCATACCCAAGGCCAGTGCTTTATGGTCGGTACTTGGGTTTAGGGTTTTAGGCAACTTAAGTTAAGTTCCGTAACAGCAACTCAGCTTAATGTCCCCTAGAGGCTATAGGGTTCGGTTGGGATTGGAGGAACGCATCCCAATGGTAGTCCCCGTAACTTCTGTAAAAGTCCCTGAAACCCATACCCCGTCATTCCTTGGAAATCAACGGTAAGTTTGGAGGTGCATGCGCCGCCGCGTCAATTTAGGTGAAAGATCCTAGCTATATGCAAACACGGAAACACGGGGCAACTCCAGCGCCAGCCAGCGCCAAGTACACAAGGGCAGAGAAGATGTAGCGTCAGCACAGTGGATTGAGGCACCTGTTCTGACTTACTCTTTCAGTAAGCCTGTTAGCCCGAAGTCTGAATGCATGGGATTCAACTGGGCCATCTGCCCATGGCAGCAGCTATGATGTTGCACCTTCAGCGCCTTTCCCACTATGACTTTTGAAAACCTTGCAAGACTCATTGCTCCTCGTCATTTGCGGGGCTAGACCGCCCGAGCTTCCTGCCGCAAAAGCGGGTTACTGCAACTTAGAGTGTGGCTTAGGGTTCTTGCTTGCAGCTGCGGATCGTGGGCTCAAAAGTGCTATGCTGATTCCAGAATACTTCTAGGGTTGGCCTACACTAGCATCTTACTCATGCAGCCCATCTGATAGCCTGGCATACCGGCATGGCATGCACTTCCAAAACTAAAAAGAGGGGCCTTTGAGAATGTTTCAGCGCCTTGGCTTTAAGGACTGCCCAAGGAAGTCATCTGCACAGCCCTGAGGCGAGCTTGCCTTTGCCAATGTTGCACCTATGAGACAACAAGCAGGAAAGCAAGCTTGACGGACCAGTGTCTTGCTAAGTCGAAATAGCCGGTGTGTTTCGAAAGCCGAGAATGGCTACACCAGTCTAACAAAGGGTTCGCGAGATTTTCGTGAGACAACTGCGAAGGAAGGAGCCCGTGCGATACATCTCTACAGCAGGAATTCCAGCGTTGCTGCAACAAGACAACGATGTGCAGCATATGTATTACTTTTTGGTACATTGAGCTTGCTCTGCCCCAATGCCCTATACTTTGAAATGCTCCCATTATCACTGACAGGAGCTAGTCTAAACTCCTCGCATCCCCCTTAGTAACCCCTATAATACTCTCCCGTATAATCTATATAATCCCCTCTGTGTATTGCCTTTAAAGAGTTTAGACTATAGATCATGGTCCCGTGGCCTCGCGCGTACGCTCCGCCGCGAGCCCGGGGACGCTGCGGTGGTCTGCTTGGAGCGCCGCAGCTCGCTATGAGCCCGAAGCAAGTTTCGCAGAACCTGATTTGGGGATTCCCAAGAGTAGAAAGACCTTATGGATGGTTCCCATAATAAGGATTGTAATGATATTGGGGTCTATGTTGGGGTCTCCTTTTGGGGACAGCCCATTTCCACTCGTCGTACAAGCACAAATGCAGCACCATGGGAGGCGGCTTCAAAAATCATGGTGTCTGGCGGCCTACAGATGACAACAGCACTGCAGTACCGTCCGTGCCAGCAAAGTACAGGCTTGCATTGCTGCCTAACTGCCATGCAAAGGCCCAGCACGGTCATCAGAAGGCACACCACCATGAAGAACGAGGCTGCAGTGAAGTCCTGAGATGCATGCCGCCGTTCACAGGCACAGCAAAAATTGTCCTGGCCAGAGACGGTTCATTATTGCTGTGCATCATGGCAGCGGCGACCGTCATGCTGGTAGCGGCAGTGTCCGTGGCAGTGGCGGCGGCGACGACGTGCGGACAACGACAATTACCACTGTCCCTACAAACAGCAAGTGCACCAATCCAGGTCGCAGGAATCTCGATGGGTGGCCGCAAGCTGTAGCTGCCAGAGGTCCCAGGGCCTGTGACAGAGATTGGCTTAATTAAAAACCTTTGAAGCGCAAATGCTGCGCTTACACTCCAGCCCAGCACTGCCCATGGAAGCAGATGGCCTGAACTTACGATATGAACCTCCAAATCGGCTGACTGACCCCAGCTGTCAAATACAGTACCTGGCCTGCTTGGCGGGAGGACCCATCCAGTGACACCACTTTGGTAGGACCAGGGGGTCGTTGAGAGAAACCTTGGTTCAAACATACCGTGTCATGACAGAGGATCAGCTACTTTGTGAGGCAAAGGCGACATGCTAAACAAGCAAACAAGCGGGACTCACAAGGTACGCCACACTAGGAAGGCGTTCTTGCAACTGGCATTTCTGGCCGGTAGCTTGCCGAAGGCATTCTACACAAGCAGCTCCGTTGCGAAAATCACCAACACTCAAGGCCGAGCTGCTAGGGCACTCTGCGTCTGCCATGCCAAGTCTAGACAACTGCGTGTCGAATATCACATTCCGCCCAATCATCCACGTTGCTCCCAGGACCTCTGCGGCAGGTATCAGACTACGGATGTCCAATAGCATATGGCCACAGGCAAAGGCAAATCCCCCACACTGGAGGCTATGTTGCAAAGGGGACATGGCCAGCAGAAACATTTTTTTTGAGGCTGCGGCAGTCTCCGAAACAGGGCCATTGCTCTCAAAGCCAAGGCAGTATGCTTTGCCGCCGCGGTTGTAAAGGTAGGAGCTAGGATACCAATTCCTGCGCAACACACTCGGACAGAACCAGCATTGCAAGCAAGAGGTACAGGGCATGATCCAGGAAGTGTTTGGCTGCCGAGATTCGCCGACACGCCGTCGCGAAACACTACTCGGATGTGAGGGAAGGATGACAAGGAGGATCCTCCTGCATCAATCGAAAATGGACAACTGCAGTGGCCCAGCCCCTCACACAGCTGGATGCAGAGATAAATGCTAGTCATTCCGTTTCACTAGCAGACTGAAACTAAAGCACGCTTGTGGAAGTGGCTTGCCCTCTTGCAAACGAGCGTAAAAGCTGACTGCAGGAGGAAGATCCTGAAACAGTCCAGCATGTGCTGCTGGTTCCCTGCGCTGCACAGTTGTTGTGGCTCTCGCAGTAGGACTTGACCTTGATGGAAACAACAATCCATTTTTTGTTGCCACCCAAAGGGTTTAGGGTTTCAGGGTTTGTTTTAGGGTTTAGGGCTTATAGGGCCAGGGCTAATTCAAAAGATTGCGATGATCACTGGGTGCAGACTTTCCTGGAGACTCAGATGACAAGTTCGTGCACGCCATCGCCAGAAGAGAGCTGCAAGTTGCGCTGGAAGTATCACTGAACCAAGACATACGTGTCTGCTCTTGAAATCCCAAGAATGACATGCTCATCGGGCAGGGTCCCACAGAAAATGTGCCACCGCTCCGACATGACACTAGAACCGAATGGAATCTGCTCAAGTCGTTCGTGTAGGCTAGGGTTCATGCCAAGCTAAAACCATTCTTTTCCAAATCCTGGCCTCCCCCAAACCTGCCAAATCCCAACAGGCAGATCTCTTTCGTAGCTGCAGCGGAGCTACTGCATCTTTCAACTGGCGGTACAGCCGCTCTGGAAGGTATGTGTACGTCCTGGCTGTGGAGACCACATGTTGGGCTGTGAAAAAGAGCAGCTTTGCGGGTTCATCAAATGTGGAAGTTGGAAAGCAGTGGTGTATCATATCAGAAGGAGGTGGAGGACGACCAGGAGGTCCTACTTCACGCGCCTAGAGGCTTCAGAAGCGCACAAGGGTGAGAAGACAGCTTACAGTGCCCCATGATGGCTTGCCACATGTACATCTGCAAGACTAAGATCCTAATATGTTTTCTGCCATGGCACGTGCCCGAGTCCACGATGGTGTGCCCAAAGCCACCTCCGACGAGAGCCCAAACAAAGCCAGACACGACGCTGCAATTCGTAGTGATGCTCCCATCCTTTGGCATTCCTTTCCCGTGCACTGACTCGGCCTATTATGGTGATTCGGGGCAGCTTTGGGCGACCTACTTGCGACAGAGAGGGAGCATCATGAGGAAAGGCATCGAGCAACCACACAACATCGTGCGCCTGAGATCTCGGCACCACCTTCAACGACCATCTTTGTCAGACTGATGCCTTTGCAGGCCCATCAGTTGGGAAATGAATCCAATGATGAGATTACAACCCCGGGCGACCTGCGGTTTCTAAAGGCCTCTGCTTGTCAGGCCCAAAATCATTACTGGCTGACTGCACATGATTGCCTGGAGTGCCTCCTGTTCAACACTGCATCGCAAATCGAAGCAACGCTCGCCTGCCGGCAGGGCAATGCCTCAAAGATCTTAAAGAAAAACAGCTCGTGCCATTATGGCGACACAGGCTTCGCGTGAGAATCACGCATCCTGAGTGTCCAGCCCTGCTAGAGTCAGACAAGCCACTGTAGAAACCCTGCACGCTGAGAGGGATCCACTTCACCTAAGCTGGTCGTTGCTTGGAAACTCCAGCAATCAAAGTGCGCAGGGCGGGCAGCAGATGGGGCCGGATGCTGCCTAAACAACTAGGTCAGGCTGCGCTGGTCAAGGATTCGCAGACTTGCAGTCAACCTTTGGAGCTAGAAAATGTATTTAATACCGCCGAGAAGAATTCAGAGGCTCGAACTAAAGGATTCCTCAATGATCTCCCACCCTGCCAAGGCACACCAGCAGAGTTCAGGGATTCGTTGAAGCCTCCCACAGTCCTCATCTGGGCGCCGGCGGACAGGCATTGGATCCCCCAAGTTCCGAGATTGTAAGTAGTGTGGCTCATGGCATGTACTGTCTGCTCCATTGACTCGAACAACCTGAAGGTCCCAACTGCAGGCATGCCGTGCAAAGGGCTACGTCCAAATTCAAGGTGGGCCCCTTGAACTATGCCTTTCTAGGTCTTCCGAGAAAATTATATGAGCTCTGGTGACAAGCAGCAAGAGACCACCCTGGGAGGACAGGCACATGGCGAAAATCGCAGAGTTCACGTGGTTCCGGTCCTATGCGCAAGTCACAGCATGAGGTTTTGGGGTCCTTGTAACGAGGAACCTGGGAAGCTGCACACAAAGCCTAGCGCAGCTAGAGAAAAATTCACGTCACGGTGCTTCCCAAGGCTAAGTAAGTTAGCAAAACAATGAACAGGAGGGGAGCCTAATCAGGAGACCCGCAACTTGGGCAGGTGCACTCCACAACCTGGTAGTATCTATGCCTACGATAGCAATCATGAGGGGCTACCTGAGGTTCCCTGGTTTCCATGTCACGTTCCATTGCCTTTTCCATTTGATTCTCCACTCAAACTCTAAGCCTAATCCCCAAACCCTAGATACCCCTACTACCCCTGTATGCCCTATATGACCCCGTGTGACCCCATATATCCCTATTTCCCTACTTAGCCCTCAGCCTTGAAGATCTCCATTAGGACGGTCGGCTGCTTGTTTTTCGGGGGCGCCAGGCCAAAGATACCATTTGCCTTTTACAGCTCCCAGGTCTTCATTCTGGGGGTTCGATTTCACATATCGGGTTTAGGGTTTCGCCGAGGGCCATCTGCAGAGATATATGGGTTATATGACCCCAACAATGGAGCATCAAGTGGTAAGAAAAAGGGAAATTCAATGGAAACGTGCCTTATGTTCGAGTTTACGTGGATTAGTGTCTCAACTAACGAGGGCTTCCCATTTTTAGGCTCATCCCGTGGTCCCTCTAGTGAGGGTTCTAATGCTTTTGGCTCTAGACTGGGTTCCTCCTCCTTTCGGAAACTACCATTTAGACAACCAATACCCATGAACCAAGGAGTCTTCCTCAAATCATATGTGGGATCCTGCTACCTTTTAAGCTGTATTCATGACTTAGGGAGACATGGCTGCAGGAACCTGAATCATTATCCTGATGTATTCTGCAAGCCTAGAATTTGGGCGAGCAGCGGCGAAGACCTTATCCTAAGCCCGGTAGCCGCCCTTAAGTAGACAGACTAGGGGATATACTAGGATCTCACTATATCCCATATTCTATCTACTTAAGGGAAAATATCACCCTAAACCCTTAGTTGCAACAGGCTTGCAAAGTCACGCCTGGAGAAGCCCAGCCGTTCGTGTTTGCTTATTGGCTTGAACGCACCAGTAAGTTCGAAACCCTACCCTAAAAACCCTAAACCCTAAAAGGTAAGCCGGGCCTTCTGCGTAACAAACAGCTTGGTCTCGCGGCTGTGGCATCCCATCTGCACCTGTCACTTCCGAGAAGAGTGTTTGGGCTAGCAATAATAGTAATAGTAATAAT